GAAATAATAAAAATGTATAACACGATTGTGTATACAAAATATTAATGACACATTCATTTAAAATTATATAATTAATAGATGAGATAAATGCAATAATGTTTAATGTTTTATTAAATTAAAAATATATATATAAATACCCCCATAATCTTTATTATTAATTTAACTTCACATATATTTATGGTATATAAATAAAATATACAAGTTTGCTAAATAAGGAATTATGTCTTATATTAAATTATTGATTCATTTAAGTAATTAAAAGTATCTGATGGAGAAATGATGTATTTTTTATTCTGTTTGTATTATGTAAAGACAACATGATTCAATTTTTTTATTATCGTTGATCTGGAACTACCAATTCGAGCAAAAGTCTTAAAGTTGATCGTGCGGATACTCCATTTCGAGAACTGTTCTCTAACCAAGTTTACAACGCGCTATTTAAAATCGATAAAAAGACAAAGTGGCATCTCCTGTCCTGTAATACAATAAAACTATATTACTTTGTATAGCTTTCGCTCTTTATCGATTGTGGGAGCGACAAAGAAGTGAATGCTCGCTTAATAGCGAAACGGATGAACATTGCTTCGGTTAAATCTTGCGTTTACAATTGATATCTCAAATGTCACTACTAAGAGTATCATAAGGCCGACAATTCGAAAAAATAAAGTTCAAGCGATCAGAATAATATCTTACGTCGTAATATGAGCAGCGTATCAGCGTCGCAGAAAATACACATACAGACAGAATGTGAACAGTCCAAGATCAAGCGCGTACAAACATCAATATTTTATCGACGTTATTGGTTTCGTGCTCTTCGAGAGAGATACGATAAAGTTGATATAAAAATTTGTATAATAATAATAATAATACTAAGAACCTCGAATCTCTATGGATAGCAAGATCAGCGAGTTAATCATGTTTTTCTGTAAAATATCTTACATGTTTTTCAAATCGGATCACTAACCTTATCAACCTTTAAACTTATCTAATCGAATGTAACATCGCGATGTAAAAAATAAAGAATTGATCTCGTAAAATTTTCATTTTATAATTTTTTTAAAGTATTATGCAAATAAAAATTATTTAACCGATTCTTCTAAATCTCAATTACAAAACAATTACGAGATTGGGATTTCTCGATTTTTACATCATTGTGCAAATATTTATGATTAAAAAAGTTATAAAAATTAAGGATTAAGATATTTAAACAGAGGAGAGCTTTATGAAACTTTTCTGTTCTAATAAGAGCATTATTCATGAGTTTTATCCGTGTGCTTTAAGTTGTTTTTTTTTTAGTATGGAACGAGATTTGTGAAGTTTCATAGCTTCAAGTTTCGAGGCTCCTCGTGTGTGTAATAAAAGAGTCCTTTCAATACTCTTTATATCGTGAAAAAAATGAGTTCGTAGCATATACTTCAGCGTTCGCATGACAAGCCGAATCGATTGTACCCGAATAATTTTCGTCGCATTATTAGCTACAAATGATTCTTAGATCGAAGAGAAAAGATAGACAGTGGCTGTAGCAAAACTCGTAGAACCAATTTAAGCCATAAGATAGAGAGAAAGAGGATAGAGAGAGATAGAGATAGATAGAGAGAAAGAGAGAGAGAGAGAGAGAGAGAGAGTAATATATGCTTTCAATAGCTACGATGTGTCGTACAAATACGCATGACCGCATTTACTTCTTTCATCATTTCACGTAATACTGAACGAGCCTTCCAATTATAGCAAATTAATCTAATGCGAAATACAGTTTGATATAAGCGAAATGTTGACTATGCTAAATGCTTCAGCTGCATTTTACAGTTTCAAAGCTATATTTATTTAATCACATCTTAATTGAAATCTTGTTAAATTTTATAACAGAAATTAAAACTTTTGCGACAGAAATACCCGAGCAATATTGAAAGAAATTATTGTTTTATAATAAAACAAATAATTTACGTACCAGCTGTTTGCAATTGTCGAATTATTAAAACGGATCGAGTTCACAAAATCATTCAATTACAATGCGCGGACAGAAAAGGTCTTCAATAATTCTACATATACAAAACTCTATCATTTGAAAGATGCTTGAAGCAGTCTCTATGCATTTTGACAATTTATTTTATTAAAAAGATTTTTCTATAGAGTTATAAAATATGAGCGAGAGTTGGAATAAAAATTACATAAAATCGTTGTCGAAATTCATTATAATTTTTATACATTGGAGTTGTGCTTTCAATAATTTTGTCAATACTTTATTAACAATGTAGAATATTATGTTTCTTTTTTAGAAAATTTAAATTAAGAACAAGATTATATTCGGAATTACAAACAAAATTATATTCAATATTGAAGATAAAAGATTTTTCTTTCGCGCTTTAAATTGCTCGTATGCAAGCTGTCAGAAAAGGAGATATTGATTAAATGTAATCTTTTTGTTCCGATAATAATTCATCCTACAAAACTTCGACAACGTTGTGAAATTTTGCGCATTTTTTTTTTATTATCAATTCTTATATTGTATCATTTATCTGTTTAAGATAATTGATGAAATTTTCAAAACTTTTGAAATATAATTAACATAATTGTTTTATGTAGTTTATAGATAATTTTATTATATACAATCTGAAATGTTACGATGGTTTCAATAAATTTATGATATATAATAATAAGGATATTGTGGTAAAAGTAGAGACAATATCTTTTCTTGTCTCTAATATCATAGCTAAAAATTTTTAATTAGTTGGTTCAAATTATCACAAACTACTTTACACAACAACGGAAACTTTTTTCTATGTTTCGATCTATATATGTATGTAATTTACAGGGGAAGTGGGAAACATTTTAGACAGATTTTTAAGCGATGTTCGAGAAAAGGAATAAAGCCGAGTTAAGTTAGTCTCTTTACATTCGTCGTCATATCGCGATAAGAGCTTAATTTATGTTTTTACAATTTTTTTTACTATATCATAAAGATTTTTCAATCTTTATAGCATATTGATAAAATATAGCTACTTGAATTACCGTTGATCGTAAAATAAACAGTAAAGCATACAATTAAATGTCATTTTTTTAAACATATATTTTCTTTACTAATACTAAAATAATTACGTATTTTAGACATTTATCATATACCTGTTACAATAACAAATTGTTTTATAACAAATATAATAAAAGAAGCTTATTTATTACATAATGATTTAAGCCCTTATGCGCGATTAATTCTGTATCAACACTTCACGTGTGTCGAATGTACCGTATTTTCGGGATGTTTTCTCCAAATAATTAATATTATTTATTATTAATATTTTATATTGATCTCATAAACTTCGGGCAAACGTTAGCTTGGGCACGTATCCGACAAATGTTTGAACGACGATGCTCGCGGTTAGGAAAAAAAGATACTATACTTGTCTTCGAGAAAGCGCCAAGAGAGTGGGCTGTTTTATTCCTGATCAAGTCGACCGTGTACGCAAGGTTCATGTGAACGATCGATAAGCCGCGCACGCATACATGTAAGGATGTACGCATAACAGGTACGCATAAAAGATATGCTTGTAGCAATGCGCGCATCGGCGTTCAAACGAATTGATCGATTCAGTGTAACGAGCGGCATCACCGTTCTCCGCCGTTGATTTCTGCCCCAAAAAGCCATTTTCGCGTGACATTGACGGAAGTGTTATTTCTATAGTACTACAACCGCGTTTTCCTTTGTCTCAAGTTGCGAAGCCAGAAAGTTCAAGAAGTGGGGTAAATTCGCGATAAAAGCTCTAAATGTGTCCATTCAGAAAACATACTTGTCGTTCAAGCTTTATCTCTTGAAAACACGAGTCAGTGAAGTTTCACATTACTGTTTACTGTTAAAGTAAAATTTATACATAAATACCATCAGTGGATACTATGTTTCTAAATTGTTTTCGAAACATAAAAATGTCACTATATGTATAACCCGAAAATTTCACGATTGTATCGATTAAAAGCAAAGTAAATATGAGTTTTAATCTGAAGATCTGACACTTCTTTAATAGCTTTAATATCTTTTCAATATAATTGTATATAGTACCTGAGATGTCATAAAATCTAGAATTTGAATGAAAAAGTTTAAAATGCGTTATAAGAAATTTTCTAATAAATTGTATCTCCATCAGCTTCTTGCGATGCAGAAGGATCAACGGTCGGAGAACATCGTGCACTAGAAGTATTTATTGTCTCGCGGCTCGTGGGATACGTAAATCTGAGGCCGCCGCTCGTCTTGTCGATCGTTCTTCTCTGATATACGAATCTTGGTAAAACTAGTAGCTCCAGTTTGACAAAACGAGCTATGCGAAATACCGAATAGCAAGCGAAATGTTCTGCGGCGGTACCTTGAGATTTCTCGGGATAAGAAAGGAAGGTATGCAAGATTACGGAGATTCGGCGGAAAGACAAGTCAAGTGAAATAGCTCTTCGGTTGCATAAGAAAAAACAAAAAAATATAGAAGAAAAAAAGAATGAATACTCTTCAAGCTGATATGAATTTTGTACGTTTTATATATTTTTGTGTTTTATGTTTAAAGGTTCAATTCGATTAAGAGACGTTTCGTTTCACGTATTTCGCAAAGCTCGTTTGTTTATTTATCGTAAACAGAGAGATCCATAGAAAAACACAATGAACGAAATTTTTACGAGAATAAAGATTTATTTATTTAGTTCACACATATAATAGATTCTGTATTTTATAAATTATAACCACACCGTTACGTGGTAGAGAATTTAATTATGTATATATTCACAAAATAATACCGTTTTTTTCATAAATATATAAAATTGTTTCTGCGCCTATCTATGGAGTAACTGAATTAAAATGGGAAAATGGTCATATTTATTGATATTTATTAACAACGTAAAAAGTGAAACGCGTTTTTCAGAATCACGCAATTATCAAGGGACACATTATTCGCGGTATGAAAGGTTCCGACGTACGTAAACATTAGAGACTTGATTATGTTTGAGAAAAATACACAAAAGTAACTTACCAAACCGACGAGTAGAAAAAATACTAGGAATGTGCGGCCGAGGACCGTCTGGCAGTAAACGTCGCCATATCCTACCGTGGACATCGTCACGATCAGAAAGTACACACAGGTCCAGTACGAAAGCTGTTGTGGGTTTGAGAAGTCGAAAGGGTCCCCTGAGTTTTCAAGCTGTGGGCACGATGTTATTACATTTAGGACCATCCTCGCGCAGTGTCAAGAGTGAAATTGCGGTTTATATTGGTTAAGTCATAACCATAAGCTTTTACTACTGTGCAATGGTATAAACGCGGAACGTCCGGATCTCTCGGATTTCTGCGTATAGGTCGTCTTGGGAAATGTGAAAGAAAGTCGTGAGAAAAAATATATTATTGAGAAATAGTATAAGATTATATTCTTCTTATTGTAGAAAATACTCAAATTATAAAAATCATAAAGAAGATAGAATTAGAAATATAAAGATCATACTTTGTTATTATAATTCTTTATGCTTTCAATGAAGAACTGTATATTTGATTTTTAAAATAAATTGAAAAAATTTCTACGCTCTGACGAGGTATAGTATTTCATTTTTTAAATCTCAAAAAGGAACCAGTTCTGGACTTGTGCCCTTTCTGTACTCATTACTCATTTTCAACATCTACTTTAAACCTTTAGAAGCTTGGAACAAGTGCCCTATTTGCACTGAAAACCCCTATCCGTTTCAAGATCTCTTCTCATTTCAAGATCAATGGAGAGAAAAATTTATATTTGAATAAAATTGGATTCATCCCCTTTTGTACATTCATTAATGGTAGTAAATCGCTTTTTAAATAATAAAATATAAAAGAAGACTCACCAAATGAATGATACCAGCAGCAGTTAACCAGACCGAAATGAAGATGGAGACGAGTTGGGCAAGACGAATAGAACTCGATGTCTTTAGAATGTTAAGGTACTGGAGGATATCAGGGACCGTCATCAGTCGTAGGGCTCGGAGGAACCTCAGTCCGATCCACGTCCGATCGAGATATATCGACACGAAGGACGGTGGTATCGTAAAGTAGTCCACGAACGAATACATCTCCAACATGAACCACAGCTTGTCACTGGCGGCGATAAACTGTAAAAATCACATAAAAAGTAACATTACACAAACATTTAAATTAAAAAAAGAACAGTCGAGCGAATATTATATTTCGCATAAAGAACTCTAGAAAGATTTTTGTAAGCTATAAACAAACATCGTCATATAAAACGCATTATATAAATTTAATGTTTTTCAAATGTTCGAAACTTTAGTGAAATCTTATATTTAAACATTTTTCTTCTTAAGAAAATCGAGATGAAACGTTTATATGTATATTTTATATGGCAGAACTTGCACATGTTATAGTCTTTATGTTAGCTGAAAAGTTCATTGACACAGAAGGAACGAATGCTCTTACTTACGCGTATAAAAAAGTAGACCATAAAAAATATATTGAAAGCTAAGTCTATCTGCTGAGTAATGTTGTTGCTCCACTTCTGGCAACGCTCCACCACTTCGCTGTAACATAAAAGCACAAGATTGCGGATGTTAGGTCAGCATCTCTTATGAACTCACGCGAAGGTCTCGGTCTTAAAAAGAGCAACGCTGAAAGGGCGACTAAAATAGCAGCGATTAAACTAGTGATTATCGTTGCGCCCTTAATTAAACCATAAGAAAAAGTTACAAGGTGTTATTATAATATTACCGATACTGTGCAAAAATAAAAACAATATGCATGAATGTTTGTGATAAACTTAAAAGCTACGCATTATAACACCGCCGTCGAAGTTTTCTTGTTACTCACCTGGAGGCATCGATGAAGTATATTATAAGCGATGCTATACTGAGAATGAAAACTAACACCACCTGAAACAGACAAAAAAATCATATCGTAAGAAACCCCGTCTTTCATCCCATCAAACATTTTAAACTTCGAATACAAGTATCGTTATATAATAAAAACGTATAAATAAAAACAGATGTTTCGTAATTTTTATTGTATTTTTCTAAAAAAATAACGTAATTGTATCTTTATCATTTTAAATAATCCCTTCAAAAGATATGTCGTATATACAAAAAATATTGCGATCAATATTGCAAAAGGTAATCAACGTTGTGCCGGAACATAACATTCACAAGAGCTCGTAACTTGAATCAATGTCTCGTATGTTGTCACCCTCGCAATCTATTCTCATTAGATTATAGTATCGCTTTATTTCCGGTACAATACACGCCAGCATCACGTATCGCAAAGTCTAACCAATAACTGTCAGCAAATGTGAAGTAACGTTTATGACAGGCGCCAAGATGCCCCATACTCGACACCGTGTCAAAGTATATTGGTAGTTACCGGAGAGTATTATTAACAATCGCTATAATGTGAAATTACCTACATATAACGACTTTAAAGTTGCGCAAGTTCTCGCAAACAAACCCGCTAATGACTTGATTAAATCCTTCATTAAACGATTAGCTCCGTTCATCAGTGACCCTCGTCATTGAGGACAAGCGATTAATCAAATGGTTGCGGTAATTTATGCAGTCGATGGTGATTTGGTAAACCTATCTACTATTTATCCAGAAATATTCACAATGTCGCGAATGATGAATTGTTACACACAAATAAAAAGCAAAACGACAATATTCAGCACGTGTATCGGAAAATAATATTGCACCGAGCAATCGAAATCCGGTATGATTAAATCCAGTATAAGTAAATTCAGTATGACTAAATCCGGTTCTCGGTGCATAAAAAAACCGGTACTGAGTAATTATATCCGGTAATTATATTCGGCTCTTGACAAAACAATCATCCAGTGTTCGAAAATGAATAGAAAAAAGAATTTTTATCTTGCAGGGTTTTGTTGTTGTTCAGCGGATGATAAAACGAGCCGTGTAACCCGAATGAATCCCAAGCATCCAGGGTCTATTTATCGCACGCGAAGTATATTTAGGTATGCATCGCACAGACACAAAATTGCGAGCTGCGCAGCCACGCCTGTATATAATTATTATAAACAATGACTAGGCTCAGCTCAATGATCGTATGCACGTAAGCACGCGATGCGTGCACCAAACACAAGATCGATGAGCGTTCATATACAGAATTGAATGCGCTGTGAATGCCCATTAACACTCCGGTGATCCTTATTATCTCCATGTTGAGAGGACATCCAAAACGAGAACACTCGATATTCGAAACCTAACAATTCTGATAAGTTATTGACAAATAAAATAATTGGATAAAGAATTACAATACCTCTCGCGAAGGTTTGACAGACAAATCAGTCAAATAAACTATTGATTAATTTACCCTCCCTCCCTATATACTTTAGAATATTATATTCTGAAGATTTTTCTAACATTACGCGTAAAAATTCATTGGTATTCATAATTCACATTTAAATGGAAATAACCAATAATTTCCATGTTATATAAGACGATAATACTTATCTATTCCTTATAGCGATTATTATCGGTATATCTACATTTTATAGCGACATATTTCATCTTTCCTATAGCTGTAATAGATCTTTGCCTTTTTCGAAAAAAATAAAACGTCTTTATTACCAGAAATATAAAAGTTATATAAAAGATATAAAATAGTAAAAGAGATACAAAAAGGTAGTCAAAACGTCAAAAGTGCATTTCTCTTTAACACCAAAATATAAAGGTCGCTTTAGTTAAAATTATTTGCAAAAGTTATAATGTTAAGTGTAACAATTTCAATGCACAATTTATTTTATTGACTTCCCTGTTTATGTCAGACAGAACACAATATATATAAAATATTAAAAAAATTTTTGTAAGCATGTATTTATAAAATTTATATTAAAAGTTGAAGAAAAATTTATGTTATTTTTCTTATTCATTACAGTATCAAATTGTTCTGAGAAATAACTATTAGTTTTTCATAAAATGTTCTTTATGCACAGTTTATTAGATCAACATATCATCCGAAGCAAAAGTTCTTCAAAAGTTACTTTAAGAAAGACGATCTTATACAGCGTCTCAGAATTTAACACGTGTAGTTTCCCTATCAGTCTACTTCGCAACTATTTTGTACTATCTATGTAGCATTCTTCTCATGTGTGAATCCTCTTTTATAGATATATTTAAAGAAAGAGGCGAGAAGATACTCGTCGGTGTAAATTAATTACAAAAGGAAGAGAAGGAATGAAAGGAAGAGAGAACAAAGAGAAAAAGGGACAGAAAGATAAAGCAAGAAATACCTGGACCTAACCAGCATATCGCACGATATTCTTGACGCGTCTCATGAGAGTGAAGCTCTATACATAGTCACCGTTCAAAAATAGACAGTAGGTGCGGCCCTCGACAGAATGATGTAGACAAGAAGTGGGAGAAGAAATCACGAAAGAAGAACAAAGTAACGATAGTGGCGAAGAGCGGTCGACTGTAATAATGCCGAGCAGACGGTGCAATAACAGGAGCCAAAGAAAAGCAGCGGAAGAGAAAATAGGAAGAAGCGGAGCATCCGAGAGAAGAGACAACGACCCCGCGAGTCGATCTCGTGAATTCGCGTGCGACGCATTCGAAATCTCAAGCTCCTCCAATGCACTCCTTTTGTTCAAATTATTTTTAACCGTCCCGTTTTCGCCGCGTTGCGGAAATCATGTGGGAAACAGACTATGAGCCGAGACTCGTGCTAGTCATGATTTTCGTGTTAACCGACAGGCGAACATTAAAGTTCAGGGTTATCGCGCGCTGAAGACCGTAATAAGAAGCCTGCACTCGCCTCTCCCTTTGCGAGCCAACGAACTCCCGCCTTGTCATCGATTTAAATCCTTATCAAACCTGTCGTGCTCTTAACGACCGTTACGGCAAATTGACTTGATAAACGGTCGCACCACGCGAAATTACTAGGTAGACGGCGGTTGTTTCCTGAAGCGGCTCATACCCGCCCCCGCCTTGCCGTGAACTGAACAATTCCCTGGATAGGGCGTTAATAACTTGTTTGATATTCTACGGGATAATGGCTGGAATCATTATTATGATAAAAATATTTCACATCAAGTTTTCTTTCCCTTCCCGAAATTATTTTTTGCAGGATTTTCGTTATGCAGGACATCCTGCAAAAACAATCCTGCGAAAGTTCTTTTTTTTACAAATAACAAACTTTATATCAAATAAAACGTTTTAAAACGCGAGCGACAAACAGAAAACCGAAAATTTTGACAAGTTCTGCACCACAAGAGTTCAAACAAATAACAAAGTGTTTATTTCAACAGTTTTCTATAGGAACAAGTTCTATAGTTTCTTAATTCTGATCAACATATTGTACTTAAAATAAGTTAGTCTCTTCTTTGTTAACAAGAATATCTCGAAGTAGTATCTCGATATTAATTTAATTTGTTTAATTAACTAGAAAATGAAATTTTTATTAATAATTCCAACACATTTAAACTAGCATAAATTAATAATAAATAAATAAGGTAAAGGACTCTTAGTATAAAACATGAAGTAATAGACTAAAAAGACAAATTAAGAGTCATAACATTAAAATTTTTAATCTCGTAGAGTCAAAAAATAAAAGGGGAACAATAAAATCGAAGACATAAAAAATATATATATATATAATAGGAATAGACGTTTACAATAAAATATAACCGTAAATCTTCAAATCTTCAAAACTTGACATGTTTCGACTCGTGGATTGAGTCTTCTTCAGAAGTACAGCGAAAAAATAGCGTAAATTACATTAATTTTATTCATTTTGGATTAAGAGAATATAATTTAAAAGTTGAATGCTATTAATAAAAATTATAAAATTGCAATAAAAAAATATGAGATATACAGTTTTTTTAAATATTCACATAATCATCCAAATGTATTTTACATTTGGATGATGTAATATTTAATGTTGTAATGTATTTATAATGCTCTTATTTATAATATAAATATTATGTCATACTTTAATCTATATTTTATAAGCTACATCTATGTTAAAACTTGTAACAATTTTACATAATTACGAGATAACATAGCGTGTTCTAAAAAGAATTAAACTAAAATAGGACAAGCGATTAATGGTTTTATATTTTATCAATATCGCTATTACAACTTACCATATTGATACAAATATTTTGTTATATACACTTGTAATATTCGTCGTTACAAAAGTATTACGGTATAGATAATAAACTACGAGAAAAAGAGAGTTTTATACGCGCCAGAAATTATTGAATGAGCCAACACGCGAGAAATAAAATTAATACATTGTTAATATAAATTTAATAAAAGATAATAAAGGATAATATTATATTTTAATATTTCATGTATTATAGAAAATAATTCTGAACTCTTTTGATTTTAAATAATCGAAGTATAAATGAATTTAATATGAAAATTGTTTACTACAATATTGTAAACATTAATGTGAACTTCTAATAATTTTTATTTAACTTTTGCTAATGTAAAATAACTGTTATGTGAACCACTCAAATTGGTAATAAATTTTTACTTTTTAGTTTAGGTATTAATTTCATTTTACGCATGGATGGAACAATTCTAAATTAAATTATCAAAATATACCATTGAGAAATTAAAAAATCGAGATTTTCTGATGGTCTTCTCTACAGTTAAGGAGAAATTTATTTCAAATTTATTAAAGACTTTGTGACTCCCCATACGATATCTCAGATGCTCCGTGCAGAGAAATCAAGTTTACGGATCTACGATCTCGACCTTGATGAGCTCGTATAAAGGGGTATCGTATCGATCTCTCTTGGACACCGGATTTACGAGAAGCTTTTATTATGTTTGCGCTGAGAGAAAGACAGAGAATATCCCGCTAGGTGGAAGATCCGTAGATAAGCAATTGCGCTAAGAGTACCGGTGTAAAAATA